TTACGTAGCATAAATGTGTTGCCATGTGTGTCCTTTAAAGTTTGTCACAGTTCCTTCCCATAGAAATTAATAATTTTTAGGCTTATTACTTGTACCATACCATCAATGTAGGACATCTTTCAGAGTTTTACGAAAAGAAATAGGCATCTGCCCTCAAGAAGCTTAACATCTGAAAGAGAAGTCAGATAAGGGTGGAGTTGGACACATGTTAATGCTTGTAGAAGAGAGATAACATATCTCATGTGTTAATATATTTAGTAATTAGATGCCTGTTTAAGTTAATTAACAGCAACTTCAACTTTGGCATGGTTTAGAAAACTGCCAAATTTATTTTTCTCTACTAGACCCCATCCGTTTTCTTGAAGCTTCTGTCAGTTTCCCTTCACAAGCTGGAATTCTGTACCCCTCACAGAGTTAAAATTCCCATAAACCCTTCTCAGACTACAGCACCCAGAATTTTCTGAGAGGTAAAATGTGCTTTGAAGGTATAGTGCAGGGATGCAGCCAAACCACTACAGTGCAGTAGCTGCCTGTATAAATTTTAACTGATTTGTAAAGTATTATCGGTGTCAACATCTAATACATCTAACACACAACTTGGCCTTGGAACAAAGCACACAGGCAAAGGTGTTTTGTTTAAACATGTGTTAGATGTTTAACTATATGCTTGTTAACTATATACCTCTTAACTATATACCTGAAGAGCGTCTCCACCCCCATCACTCAGCCTGAGGTCCTCCTCCAAGGGTCTTCTGCTGGTTCCCTCCCTGCGAGAAGTGAGGTTACAGGGAACCAGTCAGAGGGCCTTCTTGGTAGTGGCACCCTCCCTGTGGAACGCCCTCCCTTCAGATGTCAAGGAAATAAACAACTATCTGACTTTGAGAAGACATCTGAAGGCAGCCCTGTTTAGGGAAGTTTTTAGTGTTTGATGTTTTATCGTGTTTTTAATATTCTGTTGGGAGCTGCCCAGAGTGGCTGGGGAGGCCCTGCCAGATGGGCAGGTATAAATAAATTATTATTATTATTATTATTATTATTATTATTATTATTATTAATATTGGGTCAATTTTAAATCTCACACCACCATACTTAATTGTAATGGCTTTATTTGTTTTTATAATTCTGTATTTTATTATTGTGTAACCGGCCCTGGGACCTTATGGTGAAGGGCAGGTAAGAAACCTTATCAATATACATATACATATACATATATATATTTATATTTATATTTATGGAAAATAGATTGGGAAAGAGGATGTGAGTAAGGGGAAACAAAGTAAGGCAGAAAGAATGTGGAACTGGGAGGGAGATATCCTGGATTCCAGGAAAGAATCCCAAAGGTTTAGAATTGCAAAATAAGTTCAAAATAAGTTTGTTTGGGGAACAAATATCTGGGGAACAACAACTGGAGAGAGACCTGTTGGAATGTAATGTAAAAGTGCTCTGTAAAATGTATAAAATATTATTGGAATGGGAGACAAAGGATGAGCAAGTAAAATCCTCAATGATACATTGGGCAATAGATATTGGTCATAATATGGACATGGAAGCATGGGAACTATTGTGGCATATGGATGTAAAATTTACAGCATGTTATTGTCCAAAAGAAAATTATACGAAAATGATATATCGATAGTATCTAACACCGAGTAAATTGGCAAAAATGTATGAATCTAAATCAAGTAAGTGTTGGAAATGTAAAGAGAAAGAAGGTTCTTTTTATCACATGTGGTGGTCCTGTAGTAAGGTTAAAGCTTACTGGGAAATGATATATAATGAATTGAAAAGGATGTTTAAAATAACGTTTGTAAAAACAACAACCCAGAAGCTTTTCTTTTGGGAATTATAGGGACAGAACTACCTAAACTGTATAGAAACTTATTAACGTATGCCACTAGAATGGCAAGAATGTTACTCACCACAAAATGCTAAGAGGCAGAATTCCCAGCAAAGAAAGAATGGATAAAAAACCTTATGGAATATGCAGAAATGGCAAAACTTACCAGAAGAATAGGAAATCAAGATAACAAACTTTTTATAAAAGAATGGAAATGGTTTATTGAATATTTACAGATAAATTGTAAACAGATAAGAACATTGGAAGGATTATTGTGATAACCTGCAGTTTTATAAGAGTATATATTTAACACAGATGAATAAATGAGCAAATTGAGTTCATTTGGATATGCAAAAGATATTAAAAATAAATTTAAGGAACCGCAGAAAGAGGGGGAAGGAAGTCAAGTTTTGAAATGTTAAAATGATTGTAAAATTAGTGAAATGTATAAACTTGAAAAGCATTAATAAAAATTTAAAAATAAATTAATTAAAAAATAATTAAGAGATAGGAGGAATAAGAGAATACAAGAGAAAAGGAAGTGGAGTCTTGCAGCCTCCTCTTTAGGCTCGAATAACTTCCTCTTTATTTACCGGTACTTCCTGCCTTCGCAGATGGCGGCCGTTATCGGGGGGATTTCCCGTCTCTTCCAGCCAACGATTGAGGTACTGTCTGCACAGAAGTTATGCCAGGGTATCAATCCGTGGTACTTCCTCATTGGCCTCCGCATGGTTACTCTCTTTTTTGCCTTTGGACCCTGGGACTCCCTCAAGACCGATATGATTTGCCAGTGGCCCAAAGATACTGGCGATGCAAAGACGTTCTGTTCGGTCCTCTGCTATAACCAGCTGTTCCCCATCCCTGTCTCGGCCCTCTGGACCTTCCACTTCATCGCCATCATCTTCACTGTGGCGCTCATGAAGTTTGTGTATGTTTCAACGACGGACAAATCCGGGAAGCCTGGGGAAGCAGAACCAAAGCCTGGGGAAACTGGGTGCTGCGAAACAGTTGGCAAACCTAAATTTGGCGGCTGGAGATACGGGATCTACATCTTCACCATAGTCTTGATTTTGGCCATAGAGCTGAGCTTCATGTGGACCCTCATTGGCCTCCAATTACCAATTATGACCCGAGGAATCGTCACATGCCGCCCAAACAACCCAGTATGCCCCGAAACGGCCCAGTGCGCCCTCAACGGACGAGCCGACAAGCAGGCCATTTTGTGGGTTCTGGCCTTTTGCGCGGCAGCCAACGTCTGCGTCTGCATTGGCTATCTGGCCTCACATGGCGGGCAGGCCTGTGGTTTTTGTGGCGGCAGCAGCGGTGGCGGCACAAGGAAGCCCGCGGCCGGTCACTGCGGCAACTGTGATGGAGAGGCCGGGGAACGCGGCTGTCTCCGTAACGGAGCAGGATGTCACAATGCCCAGGGCGATGGCCTGGGATGGGAAGGGGCATATGGCTACCACAGTGACTGCAGTGCGGCAGGACCAGCGGGATGCAGGTGCCAGACAGAGGGAGCGAACTGCTGCTGCCGCCAAGGCAACAGCGGCGGCAAAAACGCGGCCTGCGGCTGTCAGGAGAATAGGCACTGCCCCTGCTACTACCATGGTAGTGAGGCAGGGCATAGCCGGAGCTCCATGCCCACCAAGGAGGATTCGGAGGGGAAACTGCTAAGGGGAGACATAGAACTGGGGCCAGAAAAGAAGAACTGGACTGTTGGGATGATGCAAATGAAAGAGCCAGTGAGGCCTGGGCCCAAAAGGGGCCGAGGTAGCCCAGGAGGAGGGAAGGGGGTAAAATATATGGCAAAGTATGAGATGTGGGGCAAGAGAAGGGTGTAGGGGGGAGCGAGTGATGGGGAGGAAGTGGAGAGCTACCTTAAAGGATTGCCACAGGGCTGGCCTTGCCACGCAGCCGGGGGAAATGCGGCCTGCCTCAAGGGGCATCATAAAGGCGCAAGAGGAGGAACTGAGGAAGGGAAGAACGGGGCAGCAATGCACTTTAAGTGGTTGGCCCTCATGTGGTTGAGTGGGGTGCTATTTGGGCTTCAGGCCACAGCAGGACGTGGGCCACCATCATTCTGGATTTTGCCTGCACCATGTCTTGACAGAACGCCAACCTTTCTTTTTATTTTTTAAAGAATCGCGTATTTCAAATGCTACCGTGCGCGTAGCGACAAAATGAGTCGAGATCAAAATGACACGTGGAAATGTGGTGCAAGCCCCGCACTCCAGGTCTAGGGTGCTCTGAATTTTCTCCACACACTTTAGACAATTGGACGATTGAAAATGGTAAAATCCCTCTCTTGGATTAGAATAATCTTATACCTTTAAAAAAACAAAACAAAAAAAACCCTAATTATTTAGTCACTAATGGGTAACTCACTCAACGAGCCCAGAAGTTATTTTCTTAGAATATTTATTTATTTATTTATGGGCAAATAAATGCTACTTTTCTGAAGATGGCATGAGAGTGACTTACTAGAAAAGAGAGAGACAGAGACAGAGAGAAGCGGCATAAGCTACAATAATAAATTCTATCTGTCTGTCTGTCTTTCTTTCTATCTATCTATCTATCATCCATCATCTATCTATCTATCTTTAAAAAAACAGACAAAAAGAAACAAAATAAGGATAAAATAAAATCAGCCAATAAGAACATGGTCAACATCTAGGAGCCAGGAGAAAAATGGGACAGAATGCCTAGACCTTTGACAATTGTGAAAAAGAGGGAGAAATTGCCATTTCACTACCACTATTAATGGTGCAGGAGCCGGGCTCTCTTTTTCACCTGGCTACCTTACCAAGAACATCGGACTACAGAGAAGGCTTGTTTTCCCAACATCCAGCTAATATTTATACACAAGTTTGCTGCCCACTTCACATAAGTTCGCAAGTCCAGCTACTGCATGCACTTTAGCAGGGGTCAGCAAACTTTTTCAGGAAGGGGCCGGTCCACTGTCCCTCAGACCTTGTGGGGGGCCGGACCCACCCTCTCCCAAAAGCACCAACCGAAAAGACCCCCTCTCCCGAAAGGACTCCCCACACTGATGCCGCAGCTGCCAACACCACCTTGTCTTCGGCAGCGTTGGCATCGTCCTCTGTCTTGGCAAGCCTCTGGCCTGGGCAGCAAAGGAAGCCTCCATGCCGCCGCCGCTGCTTCCACCCGCTCAGCTCTTCCCGCTCAGCCGCCTCTGGGTGCCGCCCTTTCCTTCCCGCTGAGATGGGCGAATGGGAGGAAGCGGCTGAGCTGGAAGAGCCGAGCGGGAGGAAGTGGCAGAGGTGTGGAGGCTGCGCCAGCATCGCCGCCCACCCAGAGGGCCAATCAGCCAATCAGAAGCTGTGTCATGTTGCGGACGTCAGTCCCCATGCGGCAAGGCCTTCACGCCGCGCCAGTTTAGCACAAGGACTGACCAAGCAGGCAGCAGGGTCCGCAAGGTTCGCGAGTCGGATTAACGAGCCCGGCGGGCCGCATCCAGCCTGCGGACCTTAGTTTGCCGACCCCTGCACTTGATCTATATTAAGGTAAAGGTAAAGGGACCCCTGACCATTAAGTCCAGTTGTGGCCGACTCTGGGGTTGTGGCGCTCATCTCACTTTATTGGCCAAGGGAGCCGGCGTACAGCTTCCGGGTCATATGGCCAGCATAACTAAGCCTCTTCTGGCAAACCAGAGCAGTGCATGGAAACGCCGTTTACTTTCCCGCTGGAGCGGTACCTATTTATCTACTTGCACTTTCACGTGCTTTCGAACTGCTAAGTTGGCAGGAGCAGGGACCGAGCAATGGGAGCTCACCCCGTCATGGGGATTCGAACCGCCAATCGGCAAGTCCTAGGCTCTGTGGTTTAACCCACAGCGCCACCTGCGTCCCTTTGATCTATATTATCTACTGCCAAACCCAAGAAACAGGCTCATTTGTTTCAGTTCCTTAGGCAGGGATTCACACTTGAAGGATTTACATCAGGAAACGCTACCCCATCCTAATAAGCAGATTGCCAAAGCCTGTTATTTCAGGACTGGTCCAGAAAAGGAAGCGGCAGGATTACGACTTGTTGACTCTTCCTGCAGTGTCCTACGGCCTTTGGGAAAAGCCATAGCTGAGTGGCAGACCATCTGCTTGGTATGCAGAGTGTCTAAGTTTCAATCCCTGGCAACTCCAGGAAGGACTGAAACCCTGGAAAGAGTGGCTGCCAGTCAGTGCGGACAATACTGAGTGAGATGGACCAATGGTCTGGCTCACTGTAAGCCGCCTGTTCCGAAGAACCATGCCAAGATCTGCAGCCCATTCTGGACAAGGCTTGTTTTCTCTCCCAGGCTTTGTAGACCTTGCAGACCTTAAATAAATTAAGCAGCGATGCTCAGCACAACTAGGAATGCCTGAGTTCAGTTGGTTCATATTGCACAATGAACTGGCCTGATTAAATTAGTTCCTCTCTGATTAGTTCCTCTCTGATTAGTTCCTCTCCTAAATTAGTTCCTCTCTGATTTTATCTCTCAAATTTTTCATTACCTATATGAGGTAGTCTGAGGCTTGTCTTTTAAAAGCTTTATTTGCAGGTAAAGGCCACTTCAGTTGACTAGGAAGCCTGGCTGCTGCCATCACAATGGCAGTCATCTGTTTTCGCTGCCTAATATTGTGTCCCTGTGAGGAACAAGACACCACCATGTCTGGTCAGTCTGAGGGGAGCATCTGAGGCTCCTTGGCGGTGGCAGCAGCTGACTTCTTGAACCATTTCGAATAGCTTTTAATTATAAAAATTAAAATTAAAAATGGGGAAGTTGTAAAGGGCAGCTCTCAGACCACCTCATGTTACTGTAAATAAATTTCATTCTTTTTTAAATCGCAAATTAAAGAGGGAACAGGACAGGGTGGACTTAGGCATGAACCCATGCAAACATGACTTCACTGTCCATTCCTGAACACACACACACACACACACGCACACACACACACACACCTCAGATGCCAACAGTGTGCTCATATTCAGGCTTCATTCAGAAATAACTGTTATGGGACCAAGTAAGATCAGGGTACGCAAAGCATTCATCTGCTTGTTCTCCAACATGATAAATGTTATTGCTTGAACCATGATGCCCTCCTGCCTTCTTCATAGGCCAGTCTGCAGGGCCGTCTTTCCCTGGGGGTGCAAGGGGTGCAGGGCACCGCAGCGCCAAATTCTGGGGGGTGCCAAATGTATTCTGGGTGGCAGCAAATGTATACCTACTCTATACTGGTCTCTCTTGATCGGTGGCAGTGAAAAGCAATGGGGCGAAAGTCCCCCCCTCCCCGTTGCTCTGTTACTCTGTAGCGTCAAATATTCCTGACGAGTCAGGAAACAAAAGCAGTTATTTCTGCTGTGACATTGTAACATGTGAGCGATTTTCCTCCCCCCCAAAAGTCAACAATTTTGGCTTCGCCCCTCCCAAATAAAGCTCAACAACTCGAGTTTGCCCCCCCCCCTAAAAAAATTGGGGACGGCTAAACTAAATTTGGGGGCGCTGGGCGGATCTTTGTACCCCAGCGGTGCATATGTTTGCAAAAGATGAATGGGACACAAATCTGATATCAAAAATTACAATATTCAGAAACCAGTTGTCTATTTAGGTGCCAGGCAAAAAGCATTTCTCTTCTCACAGGCTTTCGGGCAGTAAAACAATTGATGGCCTTTTGAACTGTTCGTGTGCAGGGGGGAGCATGTGTTATTTCGTTTGTTATTGTGTTTTGTTTTGTTTTTGTATTTTTATATTGTAAAGCTCCCTGTGATTCTTGGATGAAGGGCAGTATGTATAAATAGTCAGACAGACGGACAGTTGTTTAAGCTCCCCAGTACACTTCAGTACACTTTGCTATTAACCAGAAAGCCACCTTTCTTCCATACAAGAACTTTAAAGGGAGACTCCAGAATGAAAATGCTGAACTAGTTAGAGTGTCCGAGTTATGTGTGATTCAACTCCGTTAGTATTCAAGCCATATCAAGGTTCCCCCTCCCACTCTGGAATTGTGTTACCAGAAGTTTTATTATGTTTTATTGTGTTTTTTTATATATATATGTTGGAAGCTGCCCAGAGTGGCTGGGGCACCCCAGTCAGATGGGTGGGGTACAAATAAATTATTATTATTATTATTATTATTATTATTATTATTATTATTACCACCACCACCAACATCTAATGATGCCTGCACTTATCTTGTATGCATTTGAGTTTTATGTTAAAATAGCACTGACACTACTTTTACTTTCATTTCATGGCCTTACGGGCCTACTATTGACATTTTGTCCCTCAATACTGGTGCGTTCTGCAAATATGTCAACTAAAATTACAATTAATTCATCTGATGATGTGGGCCCTAGATCTCAAGTGTTTGTGCCCTAATAAATCCATCAGCTGTGAAGGTACTAAGATTCCTTTTTGGTTTTGCTCTAAGTGACTTTTGATACCATCAACACCATATCCTCCTGGAGAGGCTATCCGAGTTGCTTAACAGTGGTTCCAATCCTACTTGGATGGTTTTTCGCAGCGGGTGATGCTTGGGAATTGCTTTTCAGCAGCCTGGGGCCTTCAAGATGGTGTCTCTCAGGGCTGAATTCTATCTCCCATGATATTTAGTATCTACATGTGATACTTTGGTTCTCGAATGTAATCCATTCTGGAAGTCCGTTCAACTTCTGAAATGTTCGAAAACCAAGGCGAATAAACTGAAGCTCAATCCAGATAAGACAGAGGCACTGTTAGTGGGTGGTTTTCTAGACCAGATAGGTGGGAGATTGCTTGCTCTTGAGGGGGTTACATTCCCTCTTAAGGAGCAGGTACATAGCTTGGGCTGCTCCTGGATCCACTGCTGTTGTTTGAGGCCCAGGTGACCTTGGTGGCAGAGAGTGTCTGAAGACCATTCGGAAACCTCAGCTGGTGCATAATGCAATGGCCAGATTGCTCACCAGAGCAAGGCAGTTTGAGCATATAACACCAATCCCATACCCTCCAACATTTATCCGATGAAAATAGGGATGTCCCATTCCATCGTGATAATTTTACTATTTCTACCCCACACATCTTACTGCGTTGCCTCAGCCAATAAGGTCATTGTGGGTCATTCTGGGTTGTGAGGTTTTGACTGCAGTGCTTCACTGACCTTAATGAAAACAAGACAGAATTTAAGCAAAATTGTAAAAGTTGTGCTACTCATACTAAGCTTTTTTTTAATGATGGTTGGTCATTGTCACCTGGAGCAAGAAACCTTGGCTAATACTGGTTAATGGGTTATTATGTTATACATTTTGTGCTTTTATACTGTAAAATGCTCTGCAATCTACAGACGAAGGGTGGTATATAAATTTAATCAATCAATCAATCAATCAATCAATCAATTAATAATGCATTGAGGAGACATCCTGAGCTCCTAATCCCTTGCATAAAGTTCAGCACGTGTAATCTAGTTAACAGTAAAATCTAGTCAACACCTCCTGCTACACGGACAAAATGGTAAGATAACTAAGTGAGGAAGCAAACAAGGATAACCAGTTTAGTCATTGCTTGCTAGGATTATATTCTTTTAACTTTTAATTAAGCAGAATAAAGAAAGTGGGAAATAGGCAGGAAATCGGGGAAGAAACAACATAACAATAGAAATATTGGAATTATGGGAATTTCTCACCTCAATTTCTTACTCTTCCCTCCTCCTGGGTCACCCTAACGCCTGATTTCTCTCTCCTGTGGGTAGAGAACACACCTATGAAACAGTTCGCATCTGTTCACGATCAAATCAAATATTCCTTAAGCCTTTTATCATATAGACTCAACATTCCACCCTAGCCTTAGGCTTCAGGGCAATTTCCCAACTGCTTTTCCAATAGATTTCCAAAGACATAACACATACGTTGAATTCTTCACAGGCTCCTGTGTGTGCAACCACACACGCCCATCCCTGCATTTGAGAATGGGGCGGAAAAGTCTGGTGCTGTTAAAAATCACAGGGAGGCTCACCTGTCATCTACATTACATACCGGTAGCTTTCGCGTCAGGCAAAAATGTTTCTCTTTACAGTAACGAGGCCTTTGGCTGATGGACATTCTATGGCCTTTTAAATGGGTTTGGTCCTCTTGTTTTTGTATTTTTTACGTTGTGAACCACCCAGCAATCTTCAGATGAAGGGTGGTATACAAATTTAATAAATAATAAAATAAAATAAAATAAAATAAACCTTAGGCCTGGATGAATTAGCATCCTGGGAACAAAGATGAAATTCTGCTACCATTAAAAAAACACATTAT